GGTAGGATGAGAGTGAGGACTTATGTGGCTGATCTGGCTCCAACCAACACTAGATCCCTGGGAATTGACATTCGCCAGATGGTAGGAAGGAGGGTGCCTCAGCTGGAGAGGCAAATTGCAATATGTATATATAGATGGCAGAGTGCTACATCCAACACCTTGCAGCATCTGAAATTATACATCCAGGTCCATGGTATGAAGGGCATCATGCCATCTAAACTGGCAGAATGCCACCACCCTACTCTCAACTGAGAAGCACTGAGAAGTACCTGATGATGACAAAACCTTGTCAAAATGTTGTACATTTACTGTTATGTTAAACTTATATTTAAGTTTTTCTTCATTACCCATTTAAGCCATCTCCAATCATCATGAGAAGCACTGTGCCCATTCAGGAGGACAGTGGCTAGGAACTGGTAAGTGGCAAGAACTCCCATACTCCACTAGAAGAAGGAGAGAAATAATGTGTGGAGAGTCCAGAGGACTGCAGCACCAGAGACAGTGAAATGGGTGACCGTGATACCCAAAATTGAAAAGCAGAGCGATCACATTGACAGAGTGCATCATCCAACACCTTGTGACATCTAGAATTGTACATCAGATTCATGGTAGGACGATCATCAAATGCTACGGATCATCAGATATGGGCAGCAATTCCTGTCTGCATTACTCATGTTAGTCCATGAGTGTACAGTCAGGGATGAACATGCTTATGAAGCAAATGACTGCTAGGTACACCTACAAGCAGTCCTGCAGAACACCCCATCTCAATGGTGGGTGTAATATGACTTGGTTATGTGTTATGAAATTGTATTTCGTAAGCAGAGAGAGAACATGTTGACAGATTCGATCAACCAACACTTGGCAGTATCTATAATTGTACACCAGGTTTAATTTAGAAAGAGCCTCTACATCACAGTAATCAAACATGGTATATGATCACGGTCGTACAGTGCAGATTTAAGACTAAGTATACCTGGTCAGGCAACACTCGCCACAGAATGGGATCCAAACATGCAATAAAGGCCCCTGCAAAAAAAAAAAGAACAGAGTACTTAACACCCACAGCAAAACTGTTATAGCACTGATAATGCCCTCCAAGGGAAGAAGGAAATGTGCAGTCAAGGATGGTAAGGTTACAGATCTGATGGAAAGAAAACCTGAAAAAGGTGACAATTATTTGAACCTTTGTCTTCATGTTTGTTATATCACCTTCTCTTGAAGTCCCAGTTCATGCTCTTGTTGGCTTGTGGACATTACCATTTTGATGTGTTCATGATTGGTGTTTGCTGTGTTTTGTTTCATAGTTCCTCTGTTCTCCTTTTTCCCAATCATTTCTTTTATACCCATGCCTTAGGCTGCACAAGAGGTTAGTTCTGCCTTCACAACTATTTTCCTTCCCTACATTTCCCATCTTTATGATTGTTCCATTCCTACCCAGTCAGGACTCTCTGATGTTATATAACATGCACTACTCCCTTCGTGATTCCCAAGTCTATTTGTTTCCTCCATGGAATCTTTACCTCTCCTGTAACCTTTCTCCCTTTCATTTATGGGCTGGATTTGCCAGTTAATTTGCCTGGCATTTTCTTCCCTTTCTCCTGATTGGAGGACAAGGAAGAGCATGGAGGACCACATTGAGGTGTCAATCAGGAAAGGAAGCAGTGGGGAGGATGGGAAAAATGGAATGAAAGAAACAATATGGATAACACTGGCAACTGTAAAATAAAAACAAATTTGGTATACCAAAAGCAGGGCAGATAGCACCACCTTAGAGCCCATAATGGATGAAACTGAAAGTCCAAGCCAAAAAGGTATGTGAGGAACAGTAGGATGGGAAGGATGATAACCCCTTCGGACAGACCAACAGCAGTACATGTACCACATACATTACAAAACCACCACAGAGGAAGGATGAACCGGAAGGGAAATGACTGAAACAACATGCAAAAATCTGGTTGATCTAGTGAGGGACTGGACAAAAACCACATGTGAAGACAGATTGCAGGTACAGATAGACGACTCATGCTGGAGCGGGGCTGATGGAGGAGTGTTGAAGAGAAAGGAGGAGGTGACACCAAGAACCGGTGCTGCAGAAGAAACCACTTGTGAGCTGCCCAATATGGAACCACCAGCAGAACAATATACAGAGTCATCAGGAGTATGGCAAGTGCACGTGAGGGGAGAAAAACAGAAAGATATGCATATAGGCACCAACCCATCTAATCCTGACTAAGAGCATTGACTGCTCCTGCAAGAGGATGAGGAACAGGAAACTAAAATCGGGGGAAGTTGTGTATGGAGAAGAGTGGCAAAAGCATCCAAATCTGGGACACCCCCTTGAGCAAACAACTCCAGAAAAACGCGAGGATCCGACGATCACTCTGCAGGGAGAA